GTCTTCTGCAGTAAATTCTTCTTTACTTCTTCACAGACTGCCACATTTCTCATCTCTGCCATATAACATACAGAAAGATACTAACTTTAAAAAGATAGACATACTAGGAAAAAACCTTATGAATGTGCTTCATAGGGACATGCCTTTGTCGGGAAGATGGAGGTCACTGGTGAAGTGTTAAATGTTGTGTCTGATTATGAGGGGAAATAATTCATGCCATTCCACCAGGTTGCAAAACCAAAAAAGGATGAAATAGGCTTATAAATGGTAGTACTGAAGGAAAGAAGACATCTGGATGTTCTCAAAAATAGAATGTCTTCAGAATAAGGAAATGAACTCAGAACAATATTATGTCAACTGGGAAACTATGTGTGGTGAAGGGAAGAAATCAGAGTTGTTTGATCAAGGGTATAAAAATTGGGGCCATTTAGAGGAATTTAGTGGTCTCCTGCAGGCCACCTACACATATGTATCAGATTACATGCAGGCTACCCTATCTGCCAATCAAGAAACTTTTCATTAACTTCTGCCTCCTGAGTTTTGTGACCCAACAATCATGGTGGTGAGGAAGGCATTCCCCTGATGGACTTGAGGTAGAGTTTCTGTAGAACTTTCAATGCCTTCAAATAGATAGAGTCTCTCCCTCTGTTTTTCTAACTCTGGTCAAGTTGGGTAGACAGACAAGAGACACACAGGAGGGCAACAAATCTTTTTTTCCAATGTGCAGAAATTTATAGTTATAAAGACTAAATTTATGACTTTAAGAAGGGGGCGTGGAGCCAAGATGGCTGACTAAGGGCAGAAACTCACCTGAACTCTCCCAAATTCCCCTCCAAACTTTTTTTCTTTTCTTTTATTAATTTCTTTTGATTTAGCAACAATCACCTCCATAACCTTTTGAGTTTAAAATTTTTCTCCCCCTTCCTCCCCACCACTCTCCCCAAGATGGCACACAATCTGATACAGACTATATATTTACATTCCTATTAAACACATTTTCACATTAGTGGTGTTGTAAGTAAAAATTAAAATCAATAGGAGGAACCATCAGGAAGAGGAAACAAAACTCAACAGAAAAGAAAAAAAATAGCAATTCAACTTCCATAGTTATTTCTTTGTATGGGATAGTATTTTCCATCACAAGGCCTCTGGAGATGTCTTAGATAATTATATTGCTGGGAAGGGTTAAGTTTATCAATATTAGTCATTGCGCAATGTGGCTATTATTGTGTACAACATTCTCTTGGTTCTGATCACTTCACTCAGCATCAGACCATACAAGTCTTTCCAGGTTTTTCTGAAGTCAGCCTGTTCATCATTTCTTATAGCACAACAGTATTCCATTACATTCATATACCACAACTTGCTCAGCCATTCCCCAATTGATGGGCATCCTCTCAATTTCCAATTCTTTGCCACCACAAAAAGAGCTGCTATGAATATTTTTATACATGTCAGTCCTTTTCCTATTTGTATGATCTCTTTGGGATATAGCCCTAGACGTGCTATTGCTGGGTCAAAGGGTATGCACATTTTTATAGCCCTTTGGGCATGGTTCCAAATTGTTCTCCAGAATGGTTGGATCATTTCACAACTCCACCAACAATGCATTAGTGTTCCAATTTTCCCACATCTTCTCCAACATTTATCATTTTCCTGTTTTGTCATGTTGGCCAATCTGATAGGTGTGATGTGGTACCTCAGAGTTGTTTTGATTTGCATTTCTCTAATCAATAATGATTTAGAGCATTTTTTCATATGACTATAGATGGCTTTAATTTCTTCATCTGAGAACTGCCTGTTCATATCCTTTGACCATTTATCAGTTGGGGAATGGCTTGTATTCTTATAAATTTGACTTAATTCTCTGTATGTTTTTATCAGAGACACTGGTTGTAAAACTTCTTTCCCAGTTTTCTACTTCCCTCCTAATCTTGGTTGCATTGGCTTTGTTTGTGCAAAAACTTTCAATTTAATGTAATCAAAATTATCCATTTTGCTTTTCATAATGTTCTCTATCTCTGTTTGGTCATGAATTCTTCTGTTCTCCATAATCTGATAGGTAAACTATTCCTTGCTCTCAGTTTTTATAGTATCAGCCTTTATATCTAAATGGTGTCCCCATTTTGACTTTATTTTGGTATATGATGTGAGTTTTTGGTCTATGCCTAGTTTCTGCCATACTCTTTTCCAGTTTTCCCAGCAGTTTTTTTTCAAAGAGTGAGTTCTTATCCCAGAAGCTGGGGTCTTTGGGTTTATCAAATAGTAGATTACTATAGTCATTGATTACTGTATCTTGCATATCTAACCTATTCCACTGATCTGCCACTCTATTTCTTAGCCAGTACCAAGTAGTTTTGATGGCTGCTGCTTTATATTACAATTTAAGATCTGGAACAGCTAGACCACCTTCCCCTGCATTTCTTTTCATTAGTTCCCTTGATATTCTGGACCTTTTGTTATTCCAAATGGATCTTGTTATTTTTTTTCTAACTCTAAAATAATTTTGGTAGCTTGATTGGTATGGTTCTGAATAAGTAAATTAGCTTAGGTAGAATTGTCATTTTTATTATATTAGCTCAGCCTACCCATGAGCAACTGATGTTTTTCCAGTTATTTATATCTGACTTTATTTGTGTGAAAAGTGTTTTGTAATTGTGTTCATATAGTTTGTGGGTTTGTTTTGGCAGGTAGACTCCTAAATATTTTATGATATCTACAGTGACTTTCAATAGATTTTCTCTTTCTATCTCTTGCTGTTGAACTTCGTTGGTAATATATAGAAATGCTGATGATTTGTGTGGGTTTATTTTATATCCTGTAACTTTGCTAAAGTTGTTTATTATTTCAAGTAGTTTTTTATTTGATTCTCTGGAATTTTCTCAGTATATCATCTGCAAAGAGTGATAGCTTTGTTTCTTCTTTGCCTATTCTAATGCCTTAAATTTCTTTTTCTTCTCTTATTGCGATAGCTAACGTTTCCAGTACCATACTGATGAGGAACTCTAAAAAACAGGAATAAAGGATGTCAGAAATTTGGATGACAGGGAGAGAAGATGGGTTAGTCCTGTGGCAAGAGCAAGGGGTCCTAGAGAGACAGCCAGTGTGCTGGGAACATCAGTGAGTCTATTGAGACTAAGTTGGCTCCAAGATATCACTTTGTTCATATTATTCCAGGTGTGATTTTATCATTTTCATAATCCATAATCAAACAATAGGTTCACAAAGTGGGTGATACCACCCCTTGGAGGCGCTGGCATGATCCAGGGGGCCAGTAGTGGCATCCAGTGCAGTTGGGGAGTGTTGAATAAAAATAAGGGAGCTGTGGAAGATAAGAAAGAAGATAAGAAAATTCTGAAAAGCTGTTTGTATGTGTTTCATATGCTGTGTAACAGAGTTAAAGTCATAGTGACTACGTTTTTTCCAAATAAACACACTAAATGCAGGTTATAACCAATCAGTGGTCAAGTCCACCCACAGGTCTTAACAAGCAAGCATTGGTAGGAGTTTGGCACATTGTCCAGAAGTCCAGCATGCATCTGAAGGAATACGTGCGTGTAATGACTTGTTTACAAGATGATATTATAAATGGTTATGTGATACAATATGGCATCATCAAAATTTCAGTGCAAAAAAACCCCCACCAATTTACAATAAATTATTAAATTTAAGATGCATCATTTAAAAAATATTTTGTATTTTTTGAAATAACAATTTTTTAAAAAAACCTTTAAAGAGTTAAAGAAAGTTGATTTCCAGGAGTTGCTGAGTAATTTTTTTTAAAGGATAAGCCAAATAAGTTTGGGAACCTCTGGATCAGACAATCCATCAGACAAAAATCACTTCTCTATTAGAAACAAACCTATAACACAATGTGTAAAGCCTTCGGCCCTGGACCTAAGATCTTTTTTGCCTTCTGGAAGCCCAGCTGTGGGTGCAGGTCTCAGGCAGGTCTGAGCCAGGCCCCCACATGGCTCCTGGCTTCTTTCTGGCTTCTGCCTTTTCCACTGGGCCTCTGCCTCCACATCACCTCCACTTCAGCTGGTACAGTTCTCAGTTGCACAGTAAACCACTTCATCCCTTTCAAATCAGGCAGCCTTCTTTCAGCATCTTCTTCCCCAGGACTAATAAGATTTGGTGACCTTGCCTAAAGAGAAAGTCCCAAGGCATTTACTCTGTAAGGATTTATTCTGTAAAACTTGAACTCAGTCAAAAGGCTGTGCCCAAGAACCTAGAAGTCCACAAGGCCTCAGGTTCCCCAGCAGTGCTGTAGGCTGACTGCATTTGGAGGAGAATAGAGTAATTCTGATCCAAGTGCCTTTAATTCTTATTCTTACAGTTCCTCATCACATTGCCTTAATGCTGAATTTTAAGTGTATTTTGCCATAAGGCAAATATCACAGTTATAAAGGGAAAGAACATGTCTCACTGGGAGAAACTCAGTCCCATCCAATCGGGATTTACAGTTACAAGTGGTATATAGAATCCCAATTTCCCCAAGAGCCCTTTGCTACCAGCTCCTCAAAGTAGTGGGTCCATCACGTTCGGTTAGTTTGGGCTGCAGCTTTATCAAGGCAGTGTTTCTGCTCACAAGGAGGAAGAGGTGAGTCGGGGGGGGGGGGGGGGGGGAGGCACTGGAGGAGGACTTCCTGGAGATGACAGCCCGTGGATGGTGGCCCAGGTGGAGCTGGAGCACTGGGGTGGAGTTTGGAGGCCTGGCAGGAGTTTAGGGGGAAGAGGGTATCGTTGCATTGGAGAAGACTTTCCACGTCATGGAGGGGTGGGCTGGAGGAGTGGGCTTGTGGAGGAGAGGTAGTCTGGGTCCTTGAGTCCTGGCCCTGGGTGTGATTGGAGGAAAGGGCTCAGCCATTTTGGGGCCTCAGGGGCTGAACAGGGTGGTGCTCTTAGGTAGGAGGACCCGCCCAGAGTGGGTTGGTGGGAAGCAGGAAGTCTTTGAGCTGAGACAACTTTGCCATCTCTGGAGCTCAGATTCTCTCCTTTTTTCTCTTGGCCCTGAACCCTCTCTACCTTCCCTGCAGCTGAGATCACTCTGCCTTCCGAAAGCCTACTCTGTGCTTGCAGAGCCCAGGTAGGTCTGAGCCAAGGTCCCCACACACATTCTGGCTTTTGCTGGCTGTCCTTGCCATTGGGTCTGCCAGAAGCATGCCTCCCAGGCCTCGTTACTGAACCAGCTCCCTGCCCCTAAAACTCTTCCAGACTCTCAATCACTTCCTAAACATCCCGGCAGACCCTTCCAAGATTTCCCATTGGGTGACACTTTCACAAACTTCAGGCTTTACCCATAGAGATCCAGGTGTCACGCTTTCAGCCTTCAGTATTGTTTCCTCTCTGCGCCCACCTCCTGATTAGAGATTCAGTTTTTCTGCCTTCAGATCCAGCCTCCTGTAAGGATCTAGAAGTACTACCTTCCTGCCCCCAGACCCTACCAGGATGCAGGAACAAAAGCTCTTTCCTAAACCTTTCCTTCCTTCCTCTCTCCCTGCTTCCTTACTTCCTTCTATCCTTCTTTCCTCCTTCTTTGCTTCCTTCCTCCCTCTCTCACTAACCCTAACCCAACAAAAGGTCCCAGGCCAAGCCCTACTTGCTCATTGTTTGGACTCTGATTGCCAGAATGTGAATAGCAATTGTTTATTTTGCCCAGAAACCCTGAGGGTCTTCCCTTCCCAGATCTGTTTTATTTTTTAAAGAGGCCATTCTTTGCTTCATTTCTTATTAAGCCTTAATCACTGAACTGGCTTCTCCTCAGTCAAACTGAGACCAGTTAAAGACCTTAGCTTGAAAAGGCCAAGGTCCCCCACTGCCACCTCCAGTTGTCCTGATCCATATCTGGCCACTGGGCCCAGATGGCTCTGGAGGAGAGAGTGAGGCTGGTGACTTTGCACAGCCCTTACCTCACTTCAATCCAATTCACTTGCATGTCATAGCATCACCTCCCTGATGTCACGGTCCTCTCCAAGAACAAAGGACAAACAGCAGCTGAAGCTGCCCCATTTGGGGGGCCACAAAGGGTGGGGGAAGCAGGTCCCTGGGGTAGATGAGGTCCAGGGATAAGATGGAGGAACTTCACAAAATGGAGCCACTTTGGTTCCTTTGCTACCTACGCAGGGAGTCTGGACTCAGAGGGACTGGCCCCAGGGGGCAGCCGAGCCCCAGCCCAGGATAGTGCAGTCCACCCCCAGACCTGACCAACATCAGCAATCCAGGCCATTTCCATAGACATGGAGGATGGTCTGTGCAGCTGGCTATGCCTGCCTTATGGATCATTTCTTTATAAAAATTGTCATGAAATTGAATACAGTAGTAACAATGCTGCCCTGCTCCCATCTTCTGTTTTAAGCTGATTCTTTGGTACCTTCCTGTCTTGAGCATTTCCCCCATGCTGCCCTCCCCTATTTGTTTGTATGTCTGGGTTGTTTTTTTTAATTTTTGTGAGGTGATGGGTTTAAGTGACTTGCCCAGGGTCACACAGCTATTAAGTGTCAAGTGTCTGAGGCCACATTTGAATTCAAGTCCTCCTGACTCCAGGGTCAGTGCTCTGTCCACTGCACCACCTACCCTTGCCCCCCATTTGTTTTTAAGTTCCGCTTCATTACCGCTGACAGACAAGGGTGACTCCTTCATTCCTTAGTCTCTCTATTATGTAGGGATCATATCTTTGTTCTCTTAATACCTGCCTAGAACCCTCTCCCCCTATACACAGCTTCTCCCCCTCCTCTTTGTTTCTTGTGGCCAAGCTCTCCCTTGTAGCAACTGAAGGTCCAGGAAACCGCTTCACCCTGACTCTTATCTGGACTGGCCTGAAGCAGAGCCCTGAAGCCTCCCTCAGCTCTTGTCATTTGCAGTATGGTTATCACAACAAAAATTGTACTCCTGGTGCTAGTCCCAGGTCCCTCTGAACCCCTGTCATTTACCAGTTCTTAAGTCAAGTCAGTGAACATTTAGAAAGGCCCTAGATATACAAGCTCAAGATTTCTTGTACAGAGAGCTCTGGGGCCATCCTGCTGTACCTGTGCTTCTAAGACCTGTCCTGGCACAGTGATTGAATGACAGACGACTTCTCTACTGTTTAAAAGAGGCTCCGGGGATTCTTATCCTTGCCTCTGTTGGTCCTGGGAATGAGGACTAGCTTCACCACATACCATATTACTATACAGATTGGCTTCCTGGTGGGCTAATTTGGTCTTCGATGTGCTGTGTGCCCTGCACTGGCAGACCATGACAGCAACAAGGAGAAAAGGAAGGATTGACAGAGTATATCAAGGTACCTCAGACAGTTTCTTGGAAATCTTGACTGCTCTAGGCTGGAGCAGGTTCTAGATTGACCTGGGAAGAGAGTAATGGATGGAACTGACTCAAGCCAATGTTAGTTTAGATGTTAAGCAAAAATCAGACTCTCCTAGGTCATTCAACAAGTAAAAGAAGCTTTCCTTAAGTATAGCAGAAAAAGGACATTCAATAAGGATACAAGAGGTCTTTAGTTTGAGTAGACAAGGTTCCTCCCAACTCCATGAGGGAGCTCATTTGGTCACAGAGCAAGGTATGGCAGTGTGCCATTTGGGGAAATCTGCCATAAGGACCCTGATTTCACATGGGTAGACTTATGCCTTTACGTTGCCAGACAGACACACTAATTTGTCCAGAGACCCTCCCAATATAGCCTGAAGGGAAGCACATGGAGCCTTTGCCCACTATATAAGTCAGGTACTTGGGACAGCTTTGTTACCTTTCAGGGGAAAAAAAATAAACTGGCCTAACCATGTGACAGGGGAAGGCCAGAACTCCAGGAGATAGTGACCCTTTCAGAAACGGGGAGGGTGCTACCTTTGACAACCATCAGGTGAGTGGTCAGTCTAATTTCAAGCCTGGCTAAGGAAGAAAACCAGCATTTATTATTAACCACCTACTAAGTGCCAGGCACTGAGTTAAACCCCTTACCAATATCTCACTTGATCATCACAACCAACCCTGGAAGGCAGATATCATTATCCCTGTCTTGTTTTTACTTATGTAGTCAGGAATATGGGGGGGGGGAGTTTTTTACTTAATTGAAATCAAATTTTGTTGTTTTGTTTTTTACAGCAGAAATTAGCCTTCTCTCCCTTCCCTATCTACCACCCCACCCCCATTTAGAAAGCAAGAAAAACTAACTCTCATTACAAGAATGTATGTAGTCAAGCAAAACAAAATTTCTTATTCGTCATAGCTAAAGAAAATTATATCAGTCAGCACTCTGAGTATCAACTTTCTATCAAGAAGTTGACAACATGTCATCATGAGTCCTCGGGAACTTATTGATCATTGAATTGATCAGAGTTCCAGTGTGTGGATACACAGAGATATAAATACACACATTCATATCAGCCAAGATCCACCTGCTCATCTTCTTGCTCCCTCCCCCACATTGAGAACACAAGAAGAACAAAATCCATTGCACACAATGTATAGTCAATCGGGGGGAAAAAAATCCACAGTGCCTATATACTAAAAAGTATTTCTCATTTTACACCTGAGAGTTGCCAAGAAAACCCCAAAGTCATGAAGAGTTGGACATGATGAACAAGAAAAACAGCAGGAAAGAGAGTAAGCAGAGATGAGGAGGGAGGGCATGACAGGAGTGAGGGTGGCCACTGAAGATGTGTGGAGCAGAGAAATGGGGGGGTCTTGTTTGTGGAACAGCCAGGAGGCCAGGGTCACTGGATAGAAGAGTACATATAGGTAGGGACTAAATCAAAAAGGGCTTCAAATGACTTTTGGTTTTGTGTTTTCTACTGGTGTTTATTGAGTGGAGGGGCAGGGTAGTGACATGGTCAGATCTTCCCTTTAGGAAAGATCAGTTTAGTGGCTGAAGAGAGGATGGATTGGAGTGGGGGAGATGCTTGAGGAAGGGAGACCCACCAGCAGGCTATCACCATAGCCTTGGTGTGGAGTGATGAGGGCTTGGACCAGGATGGGAGAGAGCATTAGGTGGGGAAGAAGTGATCATATTTGAGAGATGTTGCAAAGGTGAAATCAACTGATCTTGACAACAAATGGGATATGGGGAAGAGAGATAGTGAGGAGCAGAGGGTGGAGCCTAGCCTGTGAGCATGAAGGACTTGTACCAGGTGCTAACTGACATCTTGGTTGCCTGCTACCAAGTCCTGGATTGGACGGGTGAGGACCTGGGCCTCGAGGCAGCCTTTGGGGGTAAGGAGCAGTTGGAGGCTCTAGGTGGAATATAGAGAGAAGAGCAGGTTCAGAATCAGTCATTATTCTGGCTCAGATCCCAGGATGAGAGCAGAGGCTCAGTCCCAGCTCCTAGCCTGGCCTGAAGCATGCTCAGGAATCACAGTCGAACATCGTACCAGAAAAGCCTCTCAGGTGAAGTGGCTGATAGTGGCCAAGTTGAGTAGATTTATCATTGCCAAGAAGACTGAAAACCTGATCAGGAGCCTGCAGAACTAAGATGCCAGTGTGGGCAAGGGGAGCCTCAATCAACTTTGCCATAGATCAGGCCACTTTGGGAGCACTGAAAGCACGCAGGTAGGTGCCCAGCCTGAGCTGTCCTTGAGACCCTGGAGTAAGGCAGCATTCAATATCCCCAATAGAACAGCAGCAGGACCCAGGAGAACACAAGCTCAGCCCAGACTCCTCCGGGAGGGCACAGAGACTGGCTTTAAGTTAAACATGGAAGTCAGTGATGATATAGAAATGTGATGAAGTACTGTTGGGCTGAAGTGATGAAGGGGTGGTTTTAGAGTAGTCTGGGAAGATGTGAATGAACTGATGCATACGTAGCAAAGGGAACAGCACCAGGATAACAGCCTGTGTGGAGACAGTATTGCAAAGGTGACTTTGAGAGACTTGGGAGTTCTGATCTGTGCAGTGATCTGCCACTATTCCAGAGGACTCATCAAACATGCCCCTGCCTCCTCTTCTGATCTAGGCGAAGGACTTGGTCTAGAATGAACCTTTTGGAGGTGGCCAATGTGAAAGTGGGGTTTACATGATTATACAGGTGGAAAACAGGGCCTTAGTTTTTCATTTCCTTTTCAATGAGGGGGGAGAGGTGACAGAGGAAAAGAAGGGAGATTTTTTTCTAATGGAAAAACACCTATTTATTATCCATGGGCCAGTGCCTTTTTCCTCCTCATCTTCCTCAAGGCTTTAGGGAGGATCATTTGGTTTTGTCTCTAGAATTGGGAGCCAAGAACTAGACAAACTGAGAAAAGGCAGCTTCAGAACCACACAAAACTCTTAACTCCTGAAGCCCAGTAAAGATCTACATCCCAGGGGACCCTCCTGGAGACTCCAGGAAAAGAGAAGAGATTTTCCATTCATCCAGCAGCTTTGAATGACCCATTGGCCATGTGAGGTCTAAGCATGGGGCCTCTTTGCTAAGCATGGACTCTGAATGTTCTTTGGGTCCAGCATCGAAGACTCTTGGGGATGTTTGTGTACTTTGGTCCTTGCTATGCTTTTACAGTAAACAATTTTCAAAAAATAAAATAAAATAGGAATAAATACTGACATGAAGATAATAGCACCTACCTCCCAGAGTTCTTGTGATGCTAAAAATGAGATTCATAAAGTACTATATAAGTGCCGGCTCTTTTCACAACAGCAAAATGGCACGGTTTATTGGTGTGTTTAAATCATCTATTTTTCATAAAGAAACTGACTACATTTTGCTGATAAATTAGCTCAAACAAAACCGAAGTTAAATAAAAATTGCTTTTTTTTTAAGCAATAAAGAAACCTTCCTTTCCCCATCACTGTTGTTGTTCAGTCATTTTGGTCATGTTCAACACTTAGTAAACCCACTAGGGCTTTCCTTGGCAAAGATACTGGGGTAGTTTGCAGTTCATTTGACATATGAGGAAACTGAGGCAAACAAGCTTAAGTGACTTGCCCAGGGTCACACAGCTAGTGAGTTTCTGAGGCCGTATTTGAACTCATAAAGATGAGTCTTCCTGACTCCAAGCCCAGTGCTCTATCCACTACACCACCTAGCTTGCCCTTCTCCATCATAGTTAGTCTTATTACTAAGTAATTAATTATGTAATTAGTGACTACATGCTGTTGACAGATCAAAGCAATCCTAAAGCCAAGGCATAAGCTATTTTGGGTATGACACATACCCAGAGTGACCTCAAGTCCTCAATGTAAATAACAGATAAGGCTCCTTCACTTGCTGGAAACCAGCTCATACCATTCAGTGCAGTCTAGATTCTGATGAACATCTTTCTAGCATCCTCTTCATGTTTTCATCTTGATAAGAGTTTATTTCAGCCATCCAGGAAGCAAACTAGATCATTTCTTTAACTTTATTCTCTCTTCAATGATCATATAAAATGTTTTTATTTCCCTAGAATGCAGTGTTACTTGCCAGTTTCTCGCATACTTTTCTTTAGAATATATCAGTTACATCAGTTCTGATAAGGAAGAAATTTCACATCACCCTGTCTCTTTCTCCTCCACAAATGCACCTCACAAATAGAACACAAACTTTCTCCCTGGTTCCATCAGGAGACACATTCCATTTCTTAGACACAGCTTTATTCCCAATGATGATATAAAATGCTTTACTCTGAATTCCACTGGTTTCTTACTGACTGTGGTTTCAAGAGTTGACTCTGACACTCACAAAGGGTATGACCTTTGGGCAAATCCTTTCTCTGGGCTTCAAGTTTCCTCCTGTAAATTGATGAGGATTGGATTATTGAACTCTGAAGTGTCTTTCAGCTCCATGTCCTGTGACTTTTTGTGATTTAGGAGACAATGACATTCAAGAATGTGGCTGTGGACTTCACCCAGGAGGAGTGGGGCCTCTTGGACCATCCTCAGAAGGAGTTGTACAAGGAGGTCATGCTGGAGAATGCCCAGAACCTGCTCTCCCTGGGTAAGGACACTTCCCCTGCTAACTGAGTCTTCAATCAGAGGGAACATCTTCATTCCCTAGTGTTCAGGGTTTGGAGTATCTTTCTACTATTAGAGAGAGAAAAGTGTATGTCTCCTGGGTCCAAGAGACAAACCCCTCATGCTCCTTTATTTTCCTCTAGGAAGTCTTTGCATTGTCTGATAAGGACCTGAAGGTTTCCTTTGTTGCTCCTGAAGGTGTCTCTTACCAATCCCTGGTAGCATCAGGTCAGAGATCCAGTCAGTGTGGAAGCATCTCAGATGTGGATCTAACCTCGGAGGTTAAAATCTAACCTCTACCTGGGTGTGAATTCTGCTGCCAAATCTCTGAGAACTGCTCAGGCAGCTTTTCCTTGCAGCCCCATCCTCTTTGGGATGGGCCGAGGATTTGGAATCTTCTTCCTTTGAACGAGCAGACAGTGGTAGCTCACAGCTCTTCAATGTATCTGGTGTAGCAGGTTTGTCCTTCATCTTCCTTCCTGTTACCCCAAACTTCCAGCACAGACAGTGAGAAAGGAAGGGAAGGGAATGAACATCTATATTCACCTGCTATTTGCCATGGGCTGTGCCAAGGGCTTTCTTTACAATATTATGTCCCTTCATGCTCATCATAACCTTCCAGGTTAGGTGATATTATTCCCCCCATTTTAGAGTTGGGAAACTGAGGCAAACAGGGTAAGTGACTGGTCCAGGGGCACACAGGTACTAACTATCTGAGGCCAGATTTAACCTCAGGCAACCCAATTTCAGGCCCAGGTCTCTCTCCACTGCAGTATCAGCTGCCTCTGATTTCTAGACAATGGAAACTATGCAATGAGTCCATCCTTCCATGAAGAAGGTGCACCAAGACCAAATTCTCTGGCACCAGACTGGTTCCAAGATCTTCTCCCCAACCTCTCCGCAAAGCTGCCACAAAATAAATGCTACGGAAAGTATTCTGCACTCTGAGGTCCTTGTTTGAATGCCCCTGTGGATGCCAGGACTAACAGGCAGGCTAAGAAAAAGAGTTTTAACCCACTGGAGTTCATTGAGTTTGCCAGCAGGAGCCTCTCCCCCAAAGAGGGAAACACCCCTTGAATGAACAGTATGCAAGGTTTATATAGAGTTCAGGGAGTGAGGAGCCAGGCTGGGGGAGGGGAGCAAAAGCTGATTCGTCAAGGTCCCTGGAGCTGAGGCTTGGGGCTGATCTGGAGGTGAGGAGTTTCTACCAGAATGGAGCAGTACAAAAAGGGGCTAGGCTCCCCTATATGAGCTCTTTCTTAGACCTTCTTCAAGCAAACACATATTTATTAAGTGCCTGCTGCATGCCAGGCCCTGTGCTAAGCGATGGAAACACTAAGTGACACTTGGGATGTGCCTGACTCTCATGAAGCTCACAGTCTGGTGGGGCAGACATCAATCCACCAAACTGCAAGTTTTCTAGATCTGGAAGATTGGGAAAGGCATATTGTGGAAGGTGGGCTCTAGCTGGGGCTTCAAGGAAGCCAGGGTGAACATTCTAGGTGAGAGGGATAACAAGAAAAACTCACGGAGTCAAGAGGTGGAGTGTGCTGTTGACAGAACAGAAAGGAGGCCTATACCCTGGATTATAGCAAATATGGGGGAAACAGGGTGAGAGAAGACTGGAAGAGGAGGAGGGGGGAGGTGATGAAGTGCTGTAGCAGCCCCAGGAAGGATTTTATACTGGGTTCTTTTGCTGGGGAGCCAGAGGAAGTTCTTGAGTGGGTGGTGACATGATCATCTGAGAGCTTCAGGACAATGACCTTGACAAGTGTGTGGAAAACTGACTATGCTGGAGGGTGATGGGGCAGCTGGATGAAACAGCAGGCCCTTCAATACCTAAGGTGTGAGGTGACTGGGAAGGCAGTGACAGTGTTGGGAGAGAAGGGGACGTATAGCAGAGATGTCACACAGGTGGAGTCACGGGACTTCGCTCCAGATTGAAGATGATGGTCAGGAGGGTGACTGTGTGAGAATCGATGAGGAGTGCATGACACTTCATCTCTGAGCCTGGATTATTGGAGGATTCTTTGGATAGCATTAGGAAAGTACGAAGATGGGAGGGTTGGGGCAAAGAAAATGAGTTGCACTTTGGATATGGTAGAAGGAGAACCAAGAGGGAGTTGTGTCACTAAAGTTTAGAGAGGAGAGTATCAAGAAAAGGGGGTGATCAGCAGCATCAAAGCCTGCAGAGAGGTCAAGAAGAATATGATCGAGAAATGGCATCGAATTTAGCCATTTCAATACTGTTGGTAATTTTTAGAGAAAGAAGTGTCAGTTGAACAATGATGTTGGGAGCCAGACTGCAGAGAGTTCCAAAGCAAGGGAAAGCAGTTAGAGACAACAGTTATAAATGGCCATCTCTAGCTGTTTAGCCATGAAATATAGAAAAAAATATTGGACAATATCTCATGGGGATGCAGGATCATTGAGGGTGTTTTGAGAGAAATGGTTTTATTTGTAACAAGAGGAAAGGAGTCATTAGTGTGGGAAAGAGTGGAAATTAGTGGAAAAAATGGAGATGCTAGGGAAGAGCATACTAGGTGAGATAAGGGATGGAATGGGATTCTTTGCACATTTAAAGAGAATTGCTTTAGCAAGCAAAAGGATGACCTTTTCATCTGATACTGGGAACGAAAAGGAAAAGAAGGCCTCTGCTTTATGCAACATAAGGAGAATAAGATAGATCTTGATAAATGTCCATTTTTTTTTCAGTGAAATAAGAGACCACGTTCTTAATGAGAAGGTGTGGATGTGGAGGGGAGGGGCGGCAGAGAACAAGCCATAAAGGAGGGAGGGTTGGCAATCAATAAAAAGATTCGGAAAAGTTTTTGTGGTGAGTGACATGGGGAGTGAGTTAGGGAGATGTCAAAGGGTCGCCTTGCCACAGTGAGGGTCCAGCCGAGATTATGTAACCAAAATCTGTAGTGTTTCCAGCGGCCTGGTTTCATGATTTTGTCTCCCTTATCCAGCAGCACATGAGTAGGAGTGAAGGCTACTGCCTTACTTGGAAGTAATGTGAGGCTAAGCTTTGCATCAATCATCAGCCCAACTCCCTTTCCTGATCACTGTGGCTCCATCTCTGTCCCATTCCTGGAGAAATGCTCAAAGGGCTATAAAACTGTATGTAACCTTTGATCCAGCAATACCACTGCTAGGTCTATGTCCCAAAGACATCCCCCCAAAAGAGGGACAAAGACCTATTTGTACAAAAAATGTTTAAAACAGCTTTTTTGTGGTGGCTAAGAATTGGAAATTGAGAGGATGCCCTTCCATTGGGGAGTGGCTAAACAAGCTGTGGTATATGGTTGTAGTGAAATATTATTGTGCTATAAGAAATGACAAGCAGGATGATCAGAAAACCTGGGAAGTGAACAGAACCAGAACATTGTGCACAGTAACAATATTGTTTGATGAAGAACTGCGAGTGACTTAGGTTTTCTCAGCAATGCAATGATCCGAGATAATCCCAAATGACTAACAATGAAGCATACTATCTGACTCCAGAGAAAGAGCTGATATTGATTGAATACAGGCTGAAGCATGCTATTTTCCACTTTCTTTCATTTTTTTCTTTCATTCAAATCTTGTACAAAATGACTAATATGGACATGTTTTATATAATTGCACATGTATAATCTATATCTGATTGTTTACTGTCTCAAGGAGCTGGGAGAGGAGGGGAGGGAGCCATAGAATCTGGAACTCAAAACTTTTTTAACAAATGTTGAAAAATTGCAAAAAATCATACCTAGCATTCACGTAGCACCTATGTGCCATTCACATTAAAAATATAATCTCATTTGATCCTCATAAGAAGCCTAGGATTTAGGTGTTTTTATTATGCCTATTTTACAGATAAAGAAACTGAGGCAAATAAAGGTCCTGTGATATGTCTAGGGTCACGGTACTACAAAGTTTTTGAAGTAGGATTGACAGGTCTTCCTGACTTGAGGCCCAGTGTTCTGTCCACTACACCATCAGCTATATTGTGAATTTTAAAGAGAATATCATGAAAATGCTCAAATATGTATAAGGTAGAAAACAGCAGGAGAATTGGACAAGATCTCTTGCTGAGGGATGGAAATTCATCCTTTGTTTTTGGCTCCCTAACCAGTCAAAAAAATGAGCTGCTGAATACTATGTAAAAGATTGTTTTTTCTACTGGCTCATGACAAGAAGTGTGTTAAATGATCAATGTACTTGAAGGTCAGTTGCACACGTTACTTTTTTAAAACAATGTTTATATTTAGACTTCCTTTATAAGGGTAGGATTTCTTCAAACATAACTTTCTTTTTTCTATCACTGGAAAACCAGCTACATTCTCACTGAAACTCCACTGAATGACTAATCTGTGTTGCTAAACAGTTCTTTGGGAAGCTGACAGAGAAATGAATGATAACATAAGTAGAGGATAACTTCAAATTAGAAAACCTCAGCATTTCAGTGAGTGGCCTTTTAGTGTCTGTTTTTGTAGCAAAGTTGTGCTGGTCTATGATGATTTCATGATGAACTCTACTGTGCATGCCTAGCAATCATGGTTTTCAAATAGCCTGCCCTCACTACTGCAAGAATGCAAACCCAAGTGAGATCTAGATCTGGAGATTTCAAGTTTGGTGAGATGTGATTACAAGGCAACTGAAGAATGAGAGTGCAATGATAGATGGCCACCAGAGGTCTGTGCATGCCTGTGACCATTTGCACATCCATGTCCAACCTTCCTGGAAGTTTAGAAACAATTTGATGTCAAGTTGGAAACTGAAAGAATACGTTGCACATAGAAGCAGAGTGTGATGTTATCATTGCACGATATGCCTGAACATAATGATTTGAAATCACTGCAAAAAGAATCCTATTATGGTTAAAATATGCACATGCTTCTTGTCCCAGAGTATAAATATCTTAGTAACAAAATTGGGTGATTATTTAATGCTTAAGGTGCCTTTGCAAAAAATTTAGTTCAGATCCTTTAGACCACTGTCTAGAACCTCCAAGTGGTTTGTCAACCCCTAAATGGGAAAGGGCTTTAGGAGGACTAATAGTGAAGCATTCTGTCCACTTCCTTACAATAGAATGATAGAATCAAATATGAAACACATATTTTCAGACATGAGAAGTGTCATGCATTTTAAAATTTTTGTTTATTACAAGGATTTATTTTTAGTAGTTTTAATTTTTAATGTAATATTTTATTTGCCCCTATTAAATAGTAAAACAATTTAGAAACTTCTTTTTTAATTTTGAATTCCCAATTCTATCCCTCCTCCTCTCCCCTCTCTTAGATGGTAAGAAATCTGATATAGGTTATACATGTGCAATCATTGTTGCAAGGATTTTATTTTTATTTAAAAACAATTAAAAAAAAAAGAAATGGGGCAGTTAGGTGGTTCAGTGTTTAGAGCACTGGCCCTAGATTCAGGAGGACCTGAATTCAAATTCTTCCTGAGACACATAACACTTAATAGCTGTGTGACCATAGGCAAGTCACTTAACCCCATTGCCTAACCAAAACCAAAACAAAACAAAGCAAAAAAGAAATAAGTAGTGGCTATCCCAAAAAATTAAAAAGCCTGAGCAAAATCTTTAGTGCCTTAAGTAAATACAAAAACCATAGTAGTATTCTTCATGTGACCTAAAATTCTGTAACAGAAAAAAATAAGATTTGAAGCTATTACTACAGAAATTACATTATACTTTCAGATTTGGTAGATCATTAAATAATTTGAATATTTAGTATATGTGCACCAAATGGCATAATATCTCTGAAGAAAAGATTGAAAGTGCAGATAGCGAAAGTGAAAAGGAAAGATTGAAAGTGGAAACAATCTGTCTAATACTGTGGACAGAGTATGCCCAGTCACAAGTTGAGTTCTTGTCTCAGCCCCTGGGATTTGGATGAAATCACTCGGCCCTTCCGAGCTCATACCCTGAGTTGTGAATGTGATATGAATGTCAGCCCTTCCAGCATCAAAGGTTTGTTTTGTGGATCCACAACTGTAACTAGGTGTGAAATTCTTTGTAAGTTAAATCATCCCTGGAATGTGAGCTAATAACATTTTGAAATAATTGGTTCTGCCCACTTAAATTTGAAAACTTTTCTCTTTGCCTAGGGAAAGAGAATGTAAAGGAGTTTGTGTTCTGCCAAAGAAGGGAAGGGGATATAACTATATATGTGCCTGTGTGTATATGTTTTATTGCTTTTTTCTTTCAGAAGGAGAGATCAGACTTGAAATGAGACTACTACAGCACTAAGCCTTTCTGTAAAAAAAAAAAACTCACAAGCAAAGATTCAGAAGTAATGGTCCCTGTGGCTTCATTTATAGAGAAATCTGTGCTACACATCAGAGAATCCATACTGGAGATAAACCTTATGAATGTAATCAATGTGGAAAGGGTTTTACACATAAAGGCACTCTTACTGTACATCAGAAAGTCCACAGTGGAGAGAAACCTCATAAATGTAATCAGTGTGAAAAGGCTTTCAGCATCAGCTCCAGTCTGGCTGAACATCAGAGAATCCACACTGGAGAAAAACCTTATGAATGTAATCAGTGTGGAAAGTCTTTCCTAAAGAGGGCCAATCTTGCTTTACATAAAAGAATCCACACTGGAGTGAAACCTTATGAATGTAATCAATGTGGAAAGGCTTTCAGTGTCAGCTCCAATCTTGCTACACATCAGAGAATTCATATTGGAGAGAAACCTTATGAATGTAATCTATGTGGAAAGGCTTTCAGAAACAGTTCCAGTCTTGCTAAACATCGGAGAACCCACACTGGAGAAAAACCTTATAAATGTAATCAGTGTGGAAAGTCTTTCCTAAAGAGGGCCAGTCTTGCTTTACATAAAAGAATCCACACTGGAGAGAAACCTTATGAATGTAATCAATGTGGAAAGGCTTTTGCACATAAAAGAACTCTTACTGGACATGAGAGAACACACACTGGAGAGAAACCTTACAGATGTAATCAATGTGGAAAGACTTTCAGAGAAAGCTCCACTCTTGTTAAACATCAGAGAATCCACACTGGAGGGAAACCTTATGAATGTAATCAATGTGGAATGGCTTTCAGCGCTATCTCCAGTCTTGCTGAACATCAGAGAATCCACACTGGAGAAAAACCTTATGAATGTAATCAATGTGGCAAAGCTTTTACACGTAAAACAAGTCTTATTGTACACAAGAGAAGACACACTGGAGAGAAACCTTATGAATGTAATCAATGTGGAAAGGCTTTTGCACAGAGGGCCAATTTTACAGGACATCAGAAAATACACACTGGAAAGACCTCATAAGTGTAATCAGTATGGAAATTCTTTCAGACTCAGCTGCATTCTTAATGTACATCAAAGAATCCACACTGCAGAAAAACCTTATGAATGTAATCAATGCAGAAAGGCTTTTACACAGAGGACGCAACTTTCTGAATAGCAGAATCCACATTGGGGAAAAACCTTATGAATGTATTCAATGTGGAAAGGCTTTTATAGGCAGCTGCAGTCTTGCTGAACATCAGAGAATCCACACTTGTGACAAACTGTGAATATAATCAGTATAGAAAATCTTTCCTACAAGGGGACAGTCTTGCTTTACATAAAAGAATCCACACTGGAGGTTGTGAATGTAATCATGTATGATTATTGAATGTTATGAATGTAATCAATGTGGAAAGGCTTTCAGAGACAGCTCCAGTCTTGCTAAACATCAGAGAATCTACACTGGAGAGAATGCAATCAATGTGGTAAAAGTCAGCCTTTGTTTCACATCAGAGAATTCATGTAAGATATAAATCTTAGCACTGACATGATTGAGGAAAGGCATTGAAATGGAGTATGGAGCTTCTTAACAGAAAATTCTAGGTAAAAGCCATTTATGGACTCATAAGCCTTCAAAGGCCTTCAGCCAGAGATCACTTCTTATCCTCTCATCAGAGGATTCATACTACGAGAATGTGCTCCATGAGGATATGCCTTTGTCAGGAAGATGGAGGTCACTGGTGAAGTGTTAAACGTTGTGTCTGATTGTAACAGAATGGTGAAAGAAAGGGAAATAATTCATGCCATCCCACCAGGTTGCAAAACCAAAAAAAGGAGGAAATAGGCTTATAAGTGGTAGTAGTGAAGGAAAGAAGACATCTGGATGTTCTCAAAAATAGAATGTCTTCAGAATAAGGAAATGAACTCACAACAATATTATGTCAACTAGGAAACTCTGTGTGGTGAAGGGAAGAAATCAGAGTTGTTTGATCAAGGATATAAAAATTGGGGCCATTTAGGGGAATTTAGTGGTCTCCTGCAGACCACCTACACATATGTATCAGATTACATGCAGGCTATCCCATCTGCCAATCAAGAAACTTTTCATTAACTTCTACCTCCTGATTTTTGTGACCCAACAATCATGGTGGTGAGGAAGGCATTCCCCTGATGGACTTGAGGTAGAGTTTCTGTAGAACTTTCAATGCCTTCAAAAGATAAAATCTCTCCCTCTGTTTTTCTAACTCAGGTCAAGTTGGGTAGACAGACAAGAGACACACAGGAGGGCAACAAATTTTTTTTTCCAATGTGCAGAAATTTATAGTTATCATAACCTAATTAAAGACTAAATGTATGACTTTAAGAAGGGGGTGTGGAGCCAAAATGGCCGAGTAAGGGCAGAAACTCACCTGAACTCTCCCAAGTTCCTCTCCAAACAACTTTAAATGCTTCAAATCATATTTTGGAGTGGAAGAACCAACAAAAAGTCAAGATGAATCAATTTTCAAACCCAAGACAATGTAGGAGGCCAACAGGAAAATCAGTGACAGTTAGGCCTGGAGAGCAGTGCACACCACTCTCCACAGTAGCTTAGAGAGTTCTCAGCTCACAGACAGCAAAGGGGTCAGACAACTGGTGAAAAGATGATAAGAAGGGACCCTTTGCTGGCATTGGTGCAGGGCCATCTAGTATTGCACATACACAGTTTCATGTTGCATTCCCAGGGTAAAGGGAAGAGGGAAGGAGAGAATTTGGAACTCAAAATTTAAAAGAAAACTTTAAAGCATTATTTTTGCATGTAATTGGAAAAAAATAAATATAAAATTTTTCACACAAAAAAAGAGCTTCTTCTAGGGCTATATCCCAAAGAGATCCTACAAATGGGAAAAGGACCCACATGTACACAAATATTCATAGCAGCTCTTTTTGTGGTGGCAAAGAATTGGAAATTGAAAGGATGCCCATCAATTGGGGAATGGCTGAGCAAGTTGTGGTATATGAATGTAACGAAATAATACTATTGTGCTATAAGAAATGATGAACAGGTTGACTTCAGAAAAACCTGGAAAGACTTGTATGGTCTGATGCTGAGTGAAGTGAGCAGAACCAAGAGAACTTTGTACACAATAACAGCCACGTTGTATGATGACTAATATTGATAAACTTAACCTATCTCAGCATTACAAGGATCTAAGACATCTCCAGAGGCCTCGTGATGGAAAATGCTATCCACATCCAAAGAAAGAACTATGTTGAATCACTATCATTTTTTTTCTCTTCTGTTGAGTTTTGTTTCCTCTTTCTGATGGTTCCTCCTATTGGTTTTAATTTTTACTTACAAATTCACTAATGTGAAAATATGCTTAATAGGAATGTAAATGTATAACCTATATCAGATTATGTGCTGTCTTGGGGAGGGTGGTGGGGAGGAAGGGGAAGAAAAATTTTCAACTCAAAAGCACATGGAAGTGATTGTTGATAAATCAAAATAAATTAATAAAACTTTTTTAAAAAGTGCTTCATTCAATATGCAGGCAAATTTGGAAAATTCTAAAGTGGTCACTGGATTGGAAAACACGAGTTTAAGTCCCGATCCTAAGCAAAGGCCAGGCCAAAGGATGTTTAAATTACCAAACAACTGCACTTATTTCACACTCCAACAAAGTTATGCTTAAGATTCTGCAAGCTAGGCTTCAGCTGTATGTGAAGCAGAAGTGCAAGCTGGTTCTCAAAGAGGCAGAGGAACAAGAGAACAAATTGCCAACATTCATTGGAATAGGAAGAAAGCAAGAGAACTACAAAAAAAAAATTTTTTTAAAGCATTTACTTCTCTTTCGTTGACTGTTGCCATTGATGGTGGAACACAACAGAATGTGGGCAATTCTCAAAGAGATGACCTAGGAAGGTCATCTTACTTGTCTCCTGAGGAACCTGCCTGCGGGTGAAGAATGAAGTTAGAACTGAACATGAAACAACTGTCTGGTTTAAGATTGGGGAAGGAGTACAACAAGGCTGTCTGTTGCCACCTTATTTATTTCACATAAACAGAGTATATCAGGTTAAATGCCAGTCTGGACAAATTAAAAGACAGAATTCAGATTACTGGGGAAAATATTAGCAATGCTGGGGGTTGCTAGGTGGCACAATGGATAGATCACCCACCCTGGAATCAGGAGCACTTGAGTTCAAATTGGACCTCAGACACTTACTAGCTGTGTGACCCTGGGCAAATCACTTAACCGTTATTGGCTTAATGTCAGATATGCAGAGGATTACACTCTGATGGAAGAAAGTGAAGAAGAATTAAGAAGCTTCTTGATGAGGGTGAAAGTGGGGAGTGTTGAAGTTGGCTTGAAGCTTAACATAAAAAAAAAAAAACTAAAATCATGACAACTGGTCCCATTACCTCCTGGCAGATAGAGGGAATAGAAATGAAGCAGTGTCAGAATTTATATTGTTGGGCTCAAAAATTACTGTAAATGGCAACTATAGCCATAAAATGAAAAGATGCTGGCTCCTTAGCAGGAAAGCTATGAGTAACCTAGACATCATACTAAAAATCAAAGATGTCACCTTGGCAAGAAAGGTACATTTAGTCAAAGCCATTGTTCCTCCAGTAGCAATGTTTGACTGTGAGAGTTGGAATCTAAGGAAAGCTGATTGCCACAGAATTGACACTTTCAGGTTGTGGGGCTGGAGAAGACTTTTCAAGTGGATGCCCTGGAAAGGAGATCAAATCCAATGAATTTACACTGTCCATGGAGGGTCAAATATTGAAGTTGAAACTTTGGCCACATAATGAGAAGACAAGACTCACTGGAAAGACCTGATGTGGTGAAGGACTAAAGGCAGAAGGAGAAGGGGATGGCACAGGATGGGGTGGATGGTGTCATGGAAGCAATGAGCATGAGCTTGGAAAACTTTGGGAAACAGTGAGGGATAGAAAGGCCTGCCATGCTGTGGTCCATGGGATCACAAAGAATCAGAAATGACTGAACAACTAGACAACAGAAATAACTACATCGACTCCTAGAAGTCATTCTTTAATCAGCAACAGTTCACACACAGCGATTTCCCAAATATCCCAATATAAGAAAAAATAGAAGATAAAATTTTTGGCAGTCTAATGAATCAATTCAATTTAATGCCATTTCCAAATTATCTTCAATGGAAAGTCACTTGATGCATCTCTCAAACTGATGCTCCGGGCTGATTGTATTCAGAGAACAATGCAGCATAATTTTGGTCCAATTACACTTTTATTTCTTATTCTTACAATTTCTAAACATCACCTTCATATCAAATTTCATCTGTATTTTGCATTAAGATCTGACTTGTGAGAAATTATTCATTTGGACCCCTACTTTATTTGTATCCATATTATTCAGTTTGGTATTTTACATAAATCATAGGGAGAACTAGGTTCTTATAGTAGGCCTCAAATTGAGATGTAATGTTCACTACTTGTTTACCAAGTTATGAGGCTCCTTGTACAACCACAAGAATGCTGACAAAGATCTCTCCATCCTGTTTTACTCAAATTTTATGTCTAAAACCAGCATGGGTCAGATGCCTTGATGCTTTGGAAAGTCCCCCAACTTATTTTTGTCCCTCCACATGATTCTCTCACCCAGTATGTGCAGGTGACATCTTAGGACCACTTGTGCCTCTCCTAGACTGGGGTCTGTGGAAATGGAATGAATACTGAGTTTACTAATCCTCTTGATTTGTTTGAGCTCCCTTATTATCCAGGAGAGGCTGAAATAACCTGGGAATAAAATTCGGGCCAATCAGGAGGTGGAATGAGTGTTGCTCAAATCTGACATACCAGTGATCCTTTGCAGCATTCACTGAGTGAGCCTAGAACAACTCTGCTGTGCCAGCAACCACAGGGCTGGCTCAAATAGGTTCATACTGGCCCCAAATGGACAGAGCTTGCACAAGCATCCTAGTTCTCAGTATTTTGCATTTCTCCTATTCTCCTGCCTCTCTTTGTTGTAAAACCATATGAGCCACTCCCTGAGCTCCCAATCTTAGGAGCAGCCAGGCTAGGTTCTACTGTTCCCCAAACGCATGCATGCGCTGTACTCAACCAACGCCTGCTTCCGGATTTTGCACTTGATCTATGCCTACATTCCCTCTGGTCAGGTGGACATGTACCTCTAATAATCATTCTGCCACAATTCATCAGCTCCTTTGTACTTTGTAAGGGGTGACTCAGCTTTAGTGTCTTATTTTCCTCCTAATAAAACTATTCAGCTTTCAACTGACCTTGGACTCTCCTGAATGTTGAGGGGTGGGCTTTGCCTAGTTCACATTTCTGGTGTCAGAAGTGGGATTCATCATGGTGAGGCATGTCTGTGACAACTGGAGTAGTGGTGCAGGTGCTTTGTACCGGTTTGAACTTTTTGATGTCCAGCCTGACATCTCCCACTTTGGGGTCCCTGCTTGAATCCTAAGCTCCTGTCCCTTTCAGTTGAGTTCATTTGTTAGGAAGCTAAAGACTTGGCAAGGGTAATGTTGATCAATAACTAAGGCCCAAAAGACTCAGAGGGTTGTCACCATAGGGTGGAGACTTCTTTGTGGGCTCCACAGGGCAGACACTCTGTCTAGGGGACTGGTGAAAACCTGCAGGTCGGGACTGATGAGTCCCAGGGTTTACAGTTTAGTTAGGGTTAGGAACTGATTAAAGCCCCAGTTTTTAATTCAGGTAGTCTACATTACTTGGTGAAAAGACAAGTTCCAGAATAAAGTAAAATCTTGGCCAAGTTCCCAAAGGGAACCAATCTTCCCAACTATCCTCCCAAAAAAACAGTAGCTGACCATATTCCTATATTATGAGCCCCAAACCTGCAAGCCATTAACTAATTGGCAGAAATTGCCCCAAGATGACCCCCATCACTGTTGGCCAATGTGGAGTTTTGGGGGTTTTTTTGGTCAGGATAAATTACCTTAAGAAATGTCTTGATGAAGCCAATAAGATAATTAAATACCACAGAGGGGATGCTTTTAATTGGTGGCTACACAAAAACCACTAAAGGAGAAGCCTCTTGTAACTTGGGCTCCTTGAAGGAAACCTTAAATAGAATTA